TATATATATATATATATATATATATATTCTATGGAAATTTTTCTTCTTACTATATAGGGAAAATTGCATTCGTGGTCCCAAACCTTTCATTTTGTTGTAGATTATACCCAAACCGTTTATTTTTGCTGCCGAAGTCCCAAACCTTTATATATAGTTGCAGCGTCGGTCCCAAACCTTTAATTCCGTCCATAAAACCGCCAGTCAATGTTTCAACAGTAATTTTGACTCAAAAAAATTGCAACGTTGGTCCCAAACCTTTCATTTTGTTGCAGATTGCACCCAAGCTTTTCATTTTTGCGATCGAAGTCCCAGACCTTCATATATAATTATAGTATTGGTCCATTTCACGCATTTCGTCCATAAAATATTCAGTCAACGTTCAAACAGTAATTTTAACTCAAATGACATTTTAATTCATAGGTAAAATTGTCAAAATAAGTTATCCAAAAAAATTGTTTGTTTTCTTCAAATCCTTCAATTTTTTCACAAACATCACATTTTCATCATCGATAACTATCTGATCAAATATTTTTTTATTTGAATAATTTTTAATTTTTAATCAATTTAAAAATTATTTAATAATACATACAAATTATAGTACCAAATGCAGTTTGTTTATTTTTATTTTCTCATTTATTTATATTAGTGACAAATAATATGCCATAAAAATAATTTATCGATTCAATTATTATAGCAAATCCAATCAGATTGTTATCTGATCAAATGGTTATCGATGATGAGAATGTGATGGCTGTGAAAAGATTGAAGGATTTGAAGAAAACAAACATATTTTTTGGATAACTTGTTTTGACAATTTTACCCATCAATTAAGATGTCATTTGAGTTAAAATTATTGTTTCAACGTTGACTGATGATTTTATGGACGGAATTAAAGGCTTGGGATCGACGCTGCAACTACATATAAAGGTTTGGGACTTCGACCGTAAAAGTAAAAGGTTTGGGTGTAATCTGCAACAAAATGAAAAGTTTGGGACCACGGCTGCAATTTTCCCTACTATATATATCAGACAAAGAACTTTATTCATTAGAAGCTAGTCTATAAAGATCAGACAAGAAAAAAGACATTAAAATTAGGATTTCATCTTAAAGGTCAACCTTGTCAAGAGGGATTGCTCAAATCATTATATGTTTTTTAATATATTCATTTTTATTTGATTGATATTTATCCCTACGAGATGATAGCTTATTAGAGTACACCAATCTTGAAATTCGATAGCTCGTTTCAACTTTAGATTGATTGCAAAGTTGTCAAGAATTGTACAACTATATAATTGATATTTTCATCTTTATTGATGAGTGATTTTTCTTATTGAAGACGATCAAACGTGGGCTATCAGATATGTCCTTATCAGATTTTATCACTATTCTTGTGAATTTTCGTCCTTATTTGATACAATCCTTCAAAACTAGGGATGGGCGCTGGTCGGTTCGGTTCGATTTTGTTTGATTTCAGAAATTTTCGAGTATTTAGTAAATGAAACCATCGGTTCCAATTATAATTCTGGAACCGTTCGAGTTCGGTTCAATTCAGTTCTGTTCGGTTCTGTACTATAATTAATTTTTTAAACATTTAGAATAATAATATATAAATACACATGAAAGGATATACTAATACTAATAACAAAAAGCCAAACCCATTCTAAACTAAGTCCAATAGAAAACAAAAGTCAAACTATAAACCAGCCCAAAATTAAACGAGTTAAAGAATATATATATATAGGTCAAATAGTTAAAATAAAAAATTGTTAATTTTTTTTTAAAAAAAAATAAAATAAATTGATTTATCCAAAAAAAAAATCAGTTCTTATTCGACCGAGAACCGAACCTAACCCATCGGTTCTCGATTCAAATACTCGTTCGGGTTTTTAATTTAGAAAAACCCGTTTGATTCGGTTCAGTTCGGTTCGGTTCGGACATTTTGCCCAAACCTATTCAAAACTCATTTTTACTCAAAATTCATTTAACCACACATTCTTCCAATAATACCATGTTTGATCCACATTCGTTTCAAAATTCATTTTTTCAATATTCATTTTCAACCACACATTCTTCAATAAAATAATATTATACGCAAATTCAAAACTTTTCTTTATTTTTTAACTATGTATTTTCTATCACATCACATCATATCATAAAATACATTTTCTTCTCAATAATGTGTATCAAACACCCCCTAATTTTATTTTTAAATCACACATTCTTCAAAAAATCATTTTTCAAAAATCCATTAAGTGAAAATCTACATGAAACCGGCCTAAACCTTAATGCACACGAGTTCATGCAAAGAAGGGCTGCCAATTATAGAGGTTGACTTCGTGATGCATTACTGCCTGCAACAAGGAAGCTTGAAAAGCCCATCCACGACAACTTCAACAATATCCGTACAAGTTCAAGTACCATTCTATAAATGCAAACTTTAGGCCCCGTTCGGGAGGGATTAAAAGCCAATTAAAATTGAAAATATGGCCGTTATTGGGCCCCACTCGTCTAATAAAAGTCAATAATAACGGCTATATTTTCAATTTTAATCCGATTTTAATCCCTCCCATACAAGGCCTTAGTATCGTGGTTGAAATTTTTTGTTTAGTTGATTCGGAAGCTGAATCAGAGTATAAGTTCAAGTACCATTCTATAAATGCAAACTTTAGGCCCCGTTCGGGAGGGATTAAAAGCCAATTAAAATTGAAAATATGGCCGTTATTGGGTCCCACTCGTCTAATAAAAGTCAATAATAACGGCTATATTTTCAATTTTAATCTGATTTTAATCCCTCCCACACAAGCCCTTAGTGTTCCATCCCAATCTGATTCAAGTCTACATTGTTAGATCAAAAGGGCTACAAAGAAAAGTTCAAACGTCTTCAACCAATTGCTCCAAATACTTCTAGTAAATACCTCTCTCATAAATGAAAAAGTATACAAGAAGGAGAGCACAGTAGCTAAAAATTGAAAAGAAACTTTGCATCCGCGATCAACTTTCACCAACAACGCAATTTTCTATGCACAAGAGAAGATCGACTTGCTCACATATGAAACTTTATCAGTCAATTAAGGAATCATTCTCACGAGTAGCAGCACGTATATCGGGAAGATCAGAACTTGTGGAGAATCTAAGCCATTTCTTCTTCTCAATATGCTTGAGACAAGGTTGCATTACAAGTCCAATCACAACAGCAACTAGACTTATAATCGAGGCTTTGGGTGACGAGAAGAACAAGACGACACAAATTAACATGACTGGAGGAATGGACATTAGAATGGCTCCAATTGTTCCAACCGGTATCTTGTAAGGCCGAGGGAAGGTAGGGGCTATAATTCTTAGCCGCACAAACGTTATAAATTCCAATATCATTCCAAAGCAATACAAGAAGTTCATTGCAGCTACCACCTCTTGAAAGCTCAGCCATGAAAGCAAAACCACACCAGAAGCAGAGAAGAGTATCCCAACAAGAGGAGTTCCATAACGAGACGTTTTGGCAAAGAACTCGGGAAGCATCCCTCGTTCAGCCATACCGAGGAGCTGAAAAGAATCACTGCTCATCTCTGCCACAAACATACCCATATTCGATATTGCCGCAGCTCCCTGAATCCACAATCTCAACCATACTCCGCCCACAATTTTTGCGACGTCTGAGAAATAACCATCAGTCCATGAATTCCGTTGCAGTGGAATAGCACCAGTACCAGTCAGTAAAGGAAATAAATACCCAAGAACAACTAGAATCAATGCATAAAACAGAGCTTTTGGCAAAGTTTTCTTTGGATTTTCTACTTCTCCTGCTAGTGTACTTATTGAGTCACAATAATTCAGATTCCAAAATAGAGTATGCAGGTACAAATTCCAGTCCACCTTGTTAACATCCGCCACTAACCATCTTTTAGGCTCTATTTTTGGAATCGAAATGAATCCCATAACCACAAAAGGAAGCATCGAGAAAATCCCAAATAGAACAGCTACCCATCCCACTATGGTTAAGCCCCTATAGTTCATGTAAGTTAGGACTATCATCAAGGCCAACATGGCTAGTATCCCTTGAAGATGGTCACATATCCCCGACTTTAGATATTCTAAAAACAAGACGGGGTAAAGGGCATTGCCGAAAACCCCACTTAGCCATTTCATCCAACCCAGCTGAAAACCCCAATAGGGTCCTAAAGCCGATGAAACCCACACTACATACCCACCATCTTCGGGAAACATAGTGCCCATCTCAGCAGTTATTAAAGCTTCTGGCATACTCCATATGAATGGGAATACTAAAAACCCAAGAAGAGAAAGAAGAGGTCCTGCAGCTTTC